AATATTTTTTTAAGAAAAAAAATTTTCAAAAAAGAAAGTCAATTAACAGTTAAATTATTGTATCCGACAGTTAAATTACTGTTGAAGACAATAATTTAGCAGTTAAGACAGTAATATTAATTAAAATATTTTTTGAAAGAAAAAAAAAGTCAATTAACAGTTAAAATTACTAACTCCGACAGTTAAATAACTGCTGGAGAGAGTAATTTAGCAATCAAGATAGTAATATTAATTAATATATTTTTTTAAGAAAAAAAAAAGGTTAATTAACATTAAATTACTCTTTCCGAAAGTTAAATAACTGCTGGAGACAAGTAATTTAGCAGCCAATACAGTAATATTAATTAAAATATTTTTTTAAGAAAAAAAAAATTCAAAAAAAAATTCAAAGCCGCAGACTCTGCGGTTGATCTACCGGAAAAAAAAATCAGACAAAATAAAAGTAAAAAAGAAAAAAAAAAAAAAAAAAAAAAGAGTCAACGCCGGAGACCGTGGGTCTCCGGCGGTCTCCGGTGGTGGCAGATCAAAATTGAAATTAGGGTCAAAAATTATTTAATTGGTGAAGTTGGGCTAAATAGGGGTTTAAATTATGAAATTGGAGTTGAATTGGTTTATTTTTTTTTTTCGTCAAAAATAGACTTTTTAGTTATCAGTGCGACAAATTAGTAAGTCGAGGTATGATCGTGGAATTTTTTTTATTTGGTGGGCAAAGAGCAAAAACGACCAAAGTTAGGGGCAAAGTGCAGTTAACCCTACTTTTAATTCTCTGGTTTAATTATGTAAGTTTAATAAAGTAATTTTACATGAAGTACGATGGAGTACGACCTGTGTACGATCTATTTTTATTGGGTTCGTACTTTAATTTATAAAGTAATAGGTTCATAGTGGGTCGTACTAGTTCGTAATTTAAATCAACGACTATATTTTTTTACTAAATATTTTATACGCATCAGATTAAATCGTTTGGGTCCGAGTAGTACAACCCCTCTCGGACCCTAGACAACCCCCACTCTCTTTAATGATAAACCGTACAATAAGGGTACGATACTCCTCTGAAGTAAGACTAAATAACTTATAAATCCCCATGGTATTAATAATTACAAATACCCCCGAAAAGTAATAGCCGTAGTAATTCCTAACGGAACGAGTGAATGGAAAAATTTACCCTTTTCTAAAATAAACAAACTATATATGGGTAAATTAGGAGTACACCGTGTACAAAATAAAACTATGGATATTATGTTGAAGCTTATGTTGAAAATTTACGTCCACCGCTGAACGTTGACTGTAATTATACTGTTATTAAAAGTAATTATAATGTCGATGACAATAATTGTACTGTCGTTGACAATACAATTACTATCAAGTATCAACCACAACAATATTGTTATTTTCTTGGCCTTTTTTTTATTTTTTCTTGATTTGTTGACAAGTCAACGTAATTATATTACTGTCGTTGACGGTAAAATTACTACAAACGCAATAATATAACTATCAACCTCATCATATTATTTATTTATTTTGCCTTTTTGTTTTGTTTGATTTGTTGGTCGATTAACGTAATAAGATTACTGTCTACTATTGTAATATTACTGTAAACACAATAATATTACTGTGGTTGACGGTAATTTTACTGTCGTTACAGTAATATAATTGTGGATGGCAGTAATATTACTGTCAACTACATCAATATTAATTCTTTTGGATTTTTTATTCTGATTCCCTTTGTTGAACGGTAAGCATATTAATATTACTATATTACACAATAATAGTAATTTTTGTTGTGTTAATATTATTGTGTTAGAGAGTAATATAGCAATATTACTGTGTTAAACTGTAGTATAGTTAATATTATTGTGCTAAACATTAATATAGTTAATATGACTGTCAACCACAGCAATATTATTTTTTAAACGAGCAAAAAGATGTTGAAGGAAAAAAAAAAGTCAACGTCGTCGTTGGAGGCCGGCGTTGACCGCATGTTAGTGCCAGCAGAAAGAAGAAAAAGAAAAGGAAAATGACTCGAAATAATCAACGCCAAAAACCAGAAGAAAAAGCAAGAGAGGAAAAAAAGTCAACGGCGGCGACAGCGAAATTGTACTCAAAATTATTTGGGGCTATATGCCAAACACCCTCCATTGAAAATTTACTTCTTGAAAAATCTTTATTTGTAAATGATATTTGACATAAATCCAATGGACCTGAAAAATCATATATGCCCCCACTAATTATTAATTAGTATAATTATTCAAATTAAAAAAAAATTATACACATAATCCACCCAAATCTTCTCCAAAAATCATACCCCCAAATCACGCTACACATTTGTGCCCAAATTAATGCTCCCAAATCAATTCTAAAAATATCATTTTTATTTATTTTCTTATTTTCGATTTCTTCATAAGAAAATTTAATTTTGTTTTTAAAAAAAGTTTATTTTTCATTTTTTTAATTTTGGTTTTTTTTATTTTTTATACTTCTATTTTTCAAATTTAAATTAAAAAAAATTTATTTTTTACAAATTGAAAATCACTATAAACTTACCAAAAATCACTACGTGATTATAGTATTCCGTCACGAAAATCCATTATAAACTTATCGAAAATCTCTATGTAATCAACAAAAACCACTAATTAATGAAACCGCTCTGTAAATTAACGAAAATCACTATGTAATTAGCAAATTCCATTACAAAAAATCACTAAAAACTTATCAAATTAACAAAAAGCACTCTATAATTAATGAAAACCACCCTATAATTAACGAAAATCACTATGTAATTAACAAATTTCATTACAGAAATTCACTAAAAACTTATCATTAACGAAAACGACTATGGAATTATTGAAAACCACTCTGCGTGCAAAAACCACTATGTGTGCGAAAACCACTCTGCGTGCGAAAACCACTCTTACATTGAAGTGGGTCCTGTACATATAAAGTAGTCCTCCCCATACTTGACGACACATTAACCAAGGTGGACAAGTATGTATTCTCAAACCCAATTCTTAGCCGATAGAAGAGTTCATCTCTCATACAGACGAGATGAAATACAACAATAAACATCAACAATTGATAGGGGAGAGGAATAGAGGTCAGATCAGATTACGGACGAAGATGTGGATCTCGGTTGTCCTCGGTCTATCGCGAATTTGAAAAGATATCGTCATCCATGGAAGCAAGAAGCACATAGAGACTAATTACGACTAATTTAATGTTGTATCATTAGCGACTAATTTTATGATTGGAACTAATTACGACGGATTTAGGGTTGTTTTTATTAAATTTACGAAAAATGAAAAAAAAAAAAAAAAAAAAAAAAGATAAACTATGTTTTCCGTTCGATTTTGGTCTCCAATGGAGTAGTGACGGCGTCTAGAGTCATCCCGGGTGACTGGGTGGGCGCCCTGGGCGGATGGCTGTGAGAAGAAACTGGCAATGGTGTGGGAGCCCTGCCTGGAACTTCGTGTCCATGGCAGATGCAGAACTTTTGGGGGGGGGGGCGTGTTGGGGGTTGGTTTTTTCTTTTCCCCATTAATTTTTATTTAGATTATTATGTTTATTAACTATTTTCTGCAGTGTTAATAATTTTTTTAATTAATGTTAAGTGTTAAATAATTTGCTAAGACAATTAAAAATACTTAAATATTGAATAAAATATTTTAATAGCTAATTAATAGGTAATTTTTAGTGTAGGATTTAGCACCTCCCAATAGGAAAAGATATTACAATTTTTTTTTGTTTCCAATCCTAAAACATACGTTATTTTTAGGTTAGGGGTATAATTGTGATAATTTATTACTTTTTATTAATAAATAATGAAATGGATTTATCTCAAATAGTTGTAAAAAAATTGGATACATTGTAATTAGACTTGTGTGATGGGGGGCTTTTGACAAATAATCCCAAATTAAATATAAAGTCAAAATTAAATAATTTATGAAATTTGAGATCAAATTGAAATTAAATTGAATTAAATAATGAAATTGGAGCAAGATCAGCAGAAAGAAGAAAAAGAAACGGAAACGAAATAATCAACGGCGGCGACAGCGAAATTGTACTCAAAATTAAATATTAAGTGAAAATTAAATAATTTATGAAATTAAAAGTCAACGGCGGCGGAGCAAGATATGAACAGCGAAATTGTATTCAAAATTAAATATTAAGTGAAAATTAAATAATTTATGAAATTAAAAGTCAACGGCGGCGGAGCAAGATATGAGCAGTAGGTGAAAAAATATACAATAATAGAAGAAGAATAAAATTAAAGGACAAACACGCCCAGTGGGACTCGAACCCACAATCGCCTGATTAGAAGTCAGACGCCTTATCCATTAGGCCATGGGCGCTTTTTGACTTCCAATTTTTAATATTATTATATATCTAAATATTACTACGGTCCGAACATATTACAAATGTGACTTTATTGAAAAAAGTCAAACTCTCTCTCACACTCACCTTCTTGGTAAAACTCCACCGGCCACCACCACAGCCTTTTATTCCACCGCCCAACCAGCCGTCAGTCTGATGAACAAAACATGTCATGTCCTCCAACCCTGGTAATAATCTAGATCAAGGGATAAACTTGTCAAGAATTCAAAACACATAATATATTTATAAATCAGGTTAAACAACAAGTTATTTACGAGTTCAGTACGTGTTTTTGCTGAGCTTTCAGTGTGGATGCATTGGTCACTATAAATCTCAGTGTAAACAAAAAATATCAAAGAATTATTTAATGACCAAATTAAATGAAATTACCGAAATAGATTTAAGGGTTCATAGATTTCGAGATTTGTGGTGCTATTATCTTGAAATAAGGTCGATGTATCATGGGAAACCATTGTCGTGGAGCCATAAGCCCCGGTGCAGTGCTATATTATCGTACGGAAAAAAAGTCAAACTCTTGCCTAGACTATTTTGTTAGAATCACCTACGGTAGTTGTGCATCAAAAATACCAACATACATTCGGAATTTTGGCTCGATTTTCGATGCTGCATAAATAAATCACAAAATAACATATAAGTTTCATGGTTCTGGAGAAGCATTTCAATACTCGAGTTTTCAAAAAAAATTACATAATGTGCAAGATCCGTCATCGGCCTAAAGAACAACAGAAGGCTCGTAATCGAATTCATTCCCATAAGGAATTAGCCCAATATGTTTATTGATTTAAATATTAAACTATATGATATAGCCATCAAAACTCATGGTAATTTGCATCATGATTGTCCCAATTCAAGAATTGAAAAAACTAAGGCATGCTTGATCAAAAGCGTAGTCGTGGCTTTTTTTTTTTAATCCTCAAGCTCGATAATCTTCACCACAGATGCATCTCCGACTTTCTGGCAGACCACAACTCGGTCATGCGACTTGATAACTCCCGAAGCTTTACCATGATCAAGTGCAACCTTCAGAATTGACTCATTGGTTGCACTTGTTGACTCAGCCTGAAAGATAAGGAAACAGACAGTGAGTTTGTTATACGATGAAGTGCAGTATATTTTGTCCAAAACAATTCGCGGTAAATCGAAGGACTTACTGGATGTCTAGGATCAGCAAGCAAGGGGAAAAGACCTCGTACTATAAGTGATTGCCTTGCCTGAAGATGATGTAAAAGATTCATTAGATGGAAAATATTACAATAAGAGATCTGATTATTTCATGGAAAAAATAGTTTGCACAAAGTATGTTTGCTTAAATTATAGATGCTGCATTGAGCACATCATAGCATGAGAGGAATTTTCTTACAGTGCTGATAAAACTGTCTAGGGATTCTGAATTTATGTTGACCATGTTTGTTACCTGAAAACAAGTATCATGCGTATATGCTCTTTTGTACTGACTCTTTAAAAAAAAAAAAAAAAAAAAAAACGTGTTCTTTGTTCTTATATTAGAGCCATTAAAGTTTGAGTTTTTGGCCAAACAGTAGTACCTTGCTAGCCCCATTCTGCAAATAACAGATAACGAGTACTTTTAAGATAGAATATCATCTCGGAAAAGAATATATACCTCAAATGCACCACTGAAACTCCACTTCAGCTGGTTTGTCTTGAGCCTAGGGATAACAACAGATAAAACAGGCATTGTTGGCCTATACTTTGCTATCAATCTGCATTTAACAGGACAATGATTGAAGTCGTGTTAAAATCAGCAAATAGATAAATACTTGAAGATATCTAGATACAGGAACATCGAGAACTGCTAAATTACCTAGCTGCCCTTCCAGATGAGGTGAAACATATGATAACAGATGCCTTCACTTTAAGGGCCGCCCGGACCTAAATGAGATGCACAGAAGCAATTAAATCGTAGGAACATGCTTGAACTAAGAAAATTGATGACATAATTTTCATCAAGTTGAGTTTTTTTATTCATCTGATATTTGTCTCCACTTTTTGTGGCAACATACCGCAGAAGATGCAATAGCTTCCAAGTGAGACATGGGCTCGCCGACAAATTTTACAGTCCTCTTGAAGTATTGGTCTTGATTAAAAACCTTCTCAGCCTGAGTTACCAATGTGTAAAACAGCAGTTATCGTTATTGATTATTGTTGATTCAGTTACATTTATGTTTGAAGCACTAGGTAATGTTCTACAGCTGAGGTTCCTATTGCATAATGTCTTGTTCCAAGGAGAACATAATGCCAAGAATTAAAAAAAAAATATATTATAATAAAAAGCAGCAAACACACCCTATCAAACAAGGAAAGGCTTAACAAAAATGGAAAATAATATCAATTATAAAACTAATAAAATGCACATAATGCAAGAGATGACTTAGAAGCGGAAGTATATTAGATGATAATAACCATGTGTGCTCACCTCAGAACAAATTTTGCCCACAGTAGAAATAGTTTCGACAGGGTACAATCCACGTAAGGTCTCAGCTCCGAGAAGAATGGCATCACATCCTGAAATATAATGTTCTCTGGTAATAAGTAAATATAAAATTGAACATAACATGATATAAAATCAAGCAATAAATAATGACAACACTTAAAAACACAAGAAATATTTAAAAGAATAACCTAAGAATAAATAATAAATTTACTTCAGGCAATTTAGGACAGCGACTCACCATCCAAAACAGCATTAGCGACATCAGTTGCCTCGGCACGAGTAGGCCTTAGATTGTCTGTCATACTATCAACAACACGGGTTACCACTGCTGGCTTTCCAGCCATGTTGCATTTGTAAACAGCAGACTTCTGAAATAAGAACACCTACAAATACAGACAAAAATTTCTTGAAAATTGCAAGGAGACAGGTAACATAAGATTGACTTAAGAAAATGATAAGAGCGTTATCATGAAAAAGGCAAACGGAAATCAGTACATAATTTATTTATTTTTCACATGGACATATGTACGGTAAAAGGTTTATGATTTATGAATAGTTGTGAATGGTAGTATACGGGGACAAAAACTTGTGTGACAGACACACTTTGAGGCTAGTGGCCCTATATGTTTGTTTGTGATATTTGATAGCTGTTGACCTGCAATCGACCTGGTGACTCATGGGATGCTGTTGGTGGTGATTACTGCGAGTTGTGGGTGAGGAGGATATAACTATTTAGAGATTTCCTTATAATCTTCAAGTTTTCTTCGATTTTGGTAAATTAAGATTCCACATATCTTTTATCAATTTTACTCAGATATATATAATTATTAATCAACCTAAGATGTACTGTGGGTCTGTCACATGCACCGAGGAGGTCTAACCTAAGAGGATATCGAGTATCATTACGTAAAAGGAATCTATGTGTAAATCGAAGTAACTGAGAGGTTCAGAAGTATGAGAATATAATATTATAACAACCACTACTTATATAATTATTTCCTTTATTTTGAAAATTAATACACGTTCCTGACAATAATTCACATGCAAACCTCAAGCGGATATTGGCTGGGTTTGTCAATTTACCGGGTAAGAATAAGACACAGTTATCCATAAGACTACCATATGACATGAACAAGAGTTAACTTACATGAAGACACTAGTCAAGTATTCTTTTGTTTTCAAATTATTATTAGAAGGTCTTATCCAGTTGGAGCATCTATTCATCCAAGAAAATGTTTAAGAAACATGAGCCAGCTCAAAGAAAAGACAGAATATGGAAAAAAGAGAAGGGGAAAAAAGACAGAATAGCTACGTTGATTTGAGTATTTACGATAGGTAGGCAACTTAAAAGAGGAGAAGATCTTGACAAACTCAAAAGGTAACTGAAACAAGTTCAGCAGTTAGGTCGTCAGGACATTGAAGTAGAAAATGTAAAGTTGGCATAGTTCGTAAGTCAGAGATAAAGCCGCATGAAAGTTTCAAAATCAGTCGTTTTACATACTTATCTGTAAGAAAATCCACAAGTATAGATCATTCATGACACGTTCTACCTGGCACAACTTATTTCTCTCTTCAATGTAACAAAATAAATAATTCAACAGGAGCAGTGCCAATTTCAACTTCTTGAAGAAAAGTATGTTTCATTCATGAGTTGATTAGCAGTAATAATCAATCATACATCTACAAGTATATACAGATCCAACCCCAACCAATCATCATATAACTAACTAACCTTCTCAGGTGGAAGATCTATGCCAAGGTTTCCACGAGAAAGGATAATGCCATCTGCCTCTTGTAGGATCTCATCGAAATGGGTTAAACCCTGCAAAATGAGGGAGCCAAAGAAGTAAACTGGTTAACTATTGTTCGCTGCCTCATTTAAAATCATACCTATGTTTTCAATGTAACCTCCTTTAGTTACAATAATAACAGTCTTTATATTTCTCACCTCTACGTTTTCAATTTTAGCAAAGATTTGAGTTTGACTTAGATCACCATGCTTGGATAGAAATTCACGAGTCTGCACTAAAAAGAAGGCATATTAGCAAGTTGATCAGGAAACTGTAAAAAGGCAGATCACAAATAAATAAATGATTTTCTTTTTACCTGACGGACATCCTCTGCATGACGTGTATAAGACAAAGACAGAAAATCAATCTTGTTTTTCACACCCCATGAACTGATGACCTGAAGTAAAACAAAAATATTATAAGATGCAACTCATTCAATCAAAGAGTAGGTGAAAGCAGGTATGAAAAGAAAAGGACGAGAGAATGTAAGCTTCCAAGTAAACATGAGAAAATCGAGCTAATGCCATGGATCTCAATATTAGTGATTAATAACAAACCGTAAGATTCACAAAATTATTAATGAAAATGCATGAGGTTTAGGGATCACACAAGGAAAAAGGTGGCAATAGGAAATATCTTTAGTCTAATTCACGTGCAGAACGTAAATTACTTATTTTCATAAAATCAGGTGTCAGTCTTTCAGTGTTTCATTGATGTACAAATTTGTTTCATTGGCTGGAACCCACAAATCCAAAAATATTTTTTTTGGAAACCTCCCTAACAAAGACAGCAGGCGGAGAAAAGCACAAACAGAAACTTGTTCTAATACGAACCTGCTTATCCTTGTCAGATAAAGTAGGCAGATCAATGCGAATTTGAGAAGCATGCAATGTGAACAATGATCCAGCCAATGTTGCAGAATTCTTGATTACGCAAACCACATCATTGCCTTTTACTTCATCTACCTGCCCAACAAAAAAAAAATTAATGAAATAACTGATGCTTTGTTCACAGGCCAAAGCAAAACCAAAATTCTATATCCATTCTCCAGGTTTCCTCCTATCATATCAAGGAAGTGCTCAAAATACAGACGAAAAAAGGGAAACATGGGAACCAGATATAGGATAAGAAGACATTGAAGAAAAAAATATCATGCTTCAAGAAATTCAACACAATGAACTAAAATAGAACGTGCAAGGATTTGTCTAGTTTGTTGTTCAGGGAAAATATTTAAAGAAAAGAACAAAACAAAATGTTCACAAGAGTAAGTAAAATACAGTGAGGGGAATAATAACGTCAAAAGGATAGATGGAATCATGAAATAAACCATACTAATTCAATTCAAATACCTCGAGCCATACAGAAGTTGTTTCACTTCCTGTAAATAGGTAGTGGCCAATAAAAATGGTGTCTCCCTTCTTCACAGCCTGCAAGTACGAGTAAGAAAACTTAGTATGAGTAGAGATACTCGATTAGAATCAAACAGAGACCACGAAACTACGGTAAAAGAGTTTTGTATCCTGAAAGGAAAAAGAAATTGCAAAATTGCAGCTTTCAACTTCAGATCATACATGTGATATAATCTAGCTAATCAGGCACTGAAGGGCATATTTCTAACTCATGGATGACAGCAGTCTCAGAACATTTGATATAGGACATCAATTATTGGAAGATATAGTACAACTGTGTTTTAGAAGTTACAGAAACATGAGCTCTCTAACTAGACGGATCCCGAATGAGTATAGTATAATAAATACAATATTGTTGTCCTACTGCTCTAGCAAGTGCTCTAGAATCAAGCTTCTCAACAATTACTTGCGTCAAAATCTAAAATTTCTTGCTACAAAATGAAATTCTTTTTGACAGATAACAATTGACACATATTTCCCTACCGTCGAAATGTGTTGCATCATACGTTCATACTGTGTGTTAGCAGGATATAAATATAAAAAAACGTCAATTTATCTATATTTCACCAATATAATCACTATTTTGACCACCTATAGTTTCATCAACCATATCACCAATATATAATTACTCTTTTAGATCCCTTGAATTGACAGATAATCATCGTCTCAGCAATGCCTTATTCTTTTTTACCTTTTATGGATATCCACAAAATAAGGTTAAATTTCAAAATGACTTTTTCCCAAAAATACGAAAAACTTCAGATTTTGAATTTTTAATTGCCCCTGCTTGCCTATAGACTACACAGATATGAACCTAGGATATGTATGACCTTCACTTTGCAGCTTCATTAGAAAACGGCACTAATATATCTCTTGATAACTGCAAAAGTCAAAAATCATTTCTCATGTGGCACATGATATGAACAAGGTAGCTGGGATACAATATTTGACAGAGCTTCTGAAACAATAGTGGCATACTAAAGGATGATATTGTGCTGATTATTTACACAAAAATTAGAGATTCAGAACAAATATAATCCATTTTTCAGTAAACTGTAATTAGTGGCAGAACAGTGTGGAAAACAGCATACTTTAAAAAAAATCCGTAATACAGAAAGATACAACGTGACAATAAAGAGGAGGGAATTCGTTTGAACCTTAGCAAGTCCAGCAAAGTTGATTGGCAGAATTTCAGATGAAGCTTCTTGACCTTCATCAGGTGTCAGAATAACTTTGTCATCTTCCTTAAGAGTTATAGTCGTCTCCTTTTTATTAACAACTTGTAATTCCGGGCCCACGGTATCTAGCATAACCTGCAGAATTCGAACAAGAAACCAAATTCCATATCAATTAAGATTTCCATATCGACTGAACAAGAAATCAAATTCTAAAATCCGAACATGTGTAATTGAATACATAGCATCAAAAACCGAACCACGGAAAACTAAATCGAACTACTATATTCAACTCCTACTCCATACCACCCAAATTAAACAATAATCAGACAACAGTAGAAGCCAAAAAATCGGGATTATTCAGAAGTACAAAAAAAGGTCAAAACTGCATGAGTATTTGGATTTAAAAAAAGAAACTACACAAATAAATCTGTAAACACATACAGCACAGAGTTTCTTAGTGCTCTTAATCGCGGTCCTCAGATTTTCCAGAGTTTCCTGATGATACGCAGCGTCACCCAACGAAAAATCAAATCTGGCCACTGCTCGCAATAAAAAAAAAAAAATTGAATAAGAATTGAACAAAAAAACCTAAAGCAAAAACAAAAAATCAGGAATTGAATTCAATTTACCAGACATTCCAGCTTTAAGACAAGCGGAAATAACCGCGACGGATCGAGAGCGTGGACCCAACGTTCCGACGATCTTCGCCATTGCAGGGAAGAAACTCTGCAGCAAACAACACCACCAAATTCACTCATCATCAATTACCCCAATCATTTCTCAGAAATACAAAAATTATATGTATATAGATCTGTATAAATTCTAACAACTTCCAAAATCAACAATTATTGGTAAAAAAAAAAAAATACTCACCGATTTGGATGGCTCCAGTATGGAAGCCATCCGGATTGGCTCCTCGAGCAGCAAATGATTCGAATGCATTTTTGCTGGATTGATTTCTCTCTCTCTCTCTCTCTCTCTCTCTCTCTCTCTCTCTCTGTGAATGCTTGAAAGAGAAGAAATTGAGTGGTTTTGTGGTTTTCTTCTTTAAAAAACAGTACTATACTGCTAGTGCCAACAGGTTTCCTTTAATTATTTGTTAATATTATATTATAATATTATTATATACATTTCCTTCTTTTGCCTTTTGGTTTAGGTCTGATGTTAACATGTGTGTGTGATGTGTGAGATTATTCCACTAGATATTTATTTATTTATTTGTTTGTTTTTTTTTTTTACAAACGGTGTCTATGACTTTATTGTTTGTTTCCATCTATTTATATAAAGATATATTTTAATAATTAATCTAATTATGACACACATATATTTAGCATAATGTATAATAATTTATAAATATGGATTTATGAACTACAACTAAAAAATGGAAATAAATGGGAAATGTTTTAAAGTCCTTTGTTAGTAAAACCACTTAATTTTGCATGTTATAATATGGTCTTGCATCACGCGCACTTCAAATGATTATTTCTGACTTCTCACCAAATCTGACTCTGCAAAAGGTTCCGATACTATTATGTAGGACCGGCAATTGAGTCGCACCTAACTGAAGCTTGATGGCTTGGCTGATTATATTTGAGTCGAGTTTGATTTCTATTGAGTTGAATCGAGTTTGAGCCATTTTATCATACAATTAAAGTAATAAAGTCTGATGGTATGTGAGCTTCAGTCTATAGTAATAAGACCCGATGATCTACGAGCTTGAATCATATCAATAAGACAATAACAGTTATATGGACATGAAACAAGGAGAAACAGTCGGCATCAAATTTTAATTAGCCATATTTGAATACATGAGAGAAAAATGTATATATAGCATATATTTATGTTTGATTAGTCCATTCAACAAAATTAGATTTGAAGGAAAACTTTTGATGGTCCTACAAATAAAATATTTTTAGGGGTTATTTCAATTGAAAAGGAATTGGGGTTGGAATATGGAATATCCACTCAGATGCATGCCACCTCTTTAATATGGTGATGCTTATTGGTGATTTGAATTCTGATTGGATTAAATAAATAAATAAATAAATTGGGTGAACTTAATAAATATATAAGTGTAATATAGTGGTATTTTTTTCGATGGAGGGTCACCTTTGAGATTAATTTGAATCATTGTCTAAATGATACTTTGAGAATGAATTTATTCGTCTGTGTAAGTCTGATTTTTTATGCACTGAAAACATTTTCTTTATGGGCAATAGTTAGAGTTTCTTGATTTGCACCATGCCCCAGACATCTTAAAGTTCAAATATGTCATTGACTTTAATTTGAGACATAAACTAATAACCGATTTACTTTGGTTATTAATTAGTAATTTATCTCAAAATTTTGGTGTTTATAATAATTACAACAATTTTGTGGTTGAGTAGTGCCGCTCTTAAAAAAATTAGGGCTAAATACAATTTACACCCCTCACTTATTCTTAAAGTATCATTTGTACCACTTACCTCCTTAACATCAAATATTCTATGTTTTAAATATTAAAAAATAATAAACATAAAAATCTAATAATTATTGGATCATAAAATATTGAAAAGTAACTAAATTAAAATTATTTGTCAAAAATAAAATAAAAAGTAATATATATTGTATAATAATGAATGAAAATATATTTTAAGTAACTAATGAACCAAAATAAATTTAAATACTTAAGAATTAAGATTACTATTAATCATGTATTGATTACTTAAAATTTATCGATATAAATATATTCGATTAATTGGTCCAATAACAATCAGATTTTGTTTATTAAATATCTACCCGCACAAGATAACATTTTTAAATTTTAAAATATTGCATTTTTCAACATATATTTTTAGTTATATAATTTAATTATTCTTTTAATTAATTTTTTTTAAGATATTAGAATTTAAAATACAAATTAAATTGTGTTTGGGGGATAAGTATTACAAATGATATTTTAGGGAGTAAAATGGGACATACTTTAGGGTGTAAACTGTATTTAACCCAAAAAATTGCTACCAAACATTGATTTATTTTGGGTAAATAAACAAAAATAAAATAGAAATGCTACCAAATAGTGTGAGCGCGTGTACTTCAAACGTGTGAACGTATGTCAGCTGGCATGATGAAAATCCAACATATTTTGGAATGGAAAAACACGTGTTTTGATTTGTGGTCCCGATATAAGTATCTTCTTGCATCCCACGAAAGCCAATTATTGCCAAACTACCCCTCAAAATGCTTGTATTTAGATTTCTCACTGTCTTGTTCTCACTGTATAGAGTTATTTTTCCATTAAATAACTGATCTACTAGTTTTAATTATTTAATTTTATTATTTATTTTTCTCGTACTTTTTCTTACTTTTCCCCCCTTTTTCCTATATTATGTTTAAATTCTCAAATAATATTTTATTATGCTACTAATTTCACATTAAGAGTAGAAATGAAAGAACAAACTGTTTTGACTGGAACATGTAAAACATGAAAAATGTATTTGTATTTGATGCATTATTTGCACGGGAAAAAAAATCTTTAAACCGACAAATAATCTGGAACAGAGGTATAAAAATTTCGTTGTCAAAAATTTAAAATGATTAAAACCCCTAATAAATGGTGAAGTTAGTATTTCAATGTCAATTTACAATTACAATTACAGTTAATGGCATTTTGCCCCCAAATTTTGATGTGTTTTGTATGTTACATCCTAGACTAAAATAAATTATACATTGCCCCATACCATATTATTTGGAGCATCGACCACAAAATCAAGAATTTCCAGCCAATGGGGGACAATTTGGTAATGCAGGTGCCAAACTACTCGTATTGGGCTTATTAAATAGTATAAGAAAAATATATCTGAATCACTATGGGGTTTATTGGACCTTACAATGCCCAATGTGCATTAAAGACACAACCTATTTTAGAAGTTCGCCCAAGAATGCTTGTAAGTACCAAGCTTACTAAACAATGCCAATGGGATATGCGAGCAACAAGCTCGCCAGCTCGTTCGAGCACGCAAGATCGACACGATAGAGGGGGTTATGCATTGTAGGGATGGAGAGTCGTTGGAGGAAGAAGATTTTTGAAGATATTCTCCCTAAATAAATAAGGAAAATATGTAAATCATGATCGGTAATTGAGCAATCAATGTTAGAAAATGTCTAATTAGAAATTCTCTATATAAACAATTGTATCAAACTCTAAAACAATCACAATGATTTAACATCAATACTACACACTTTTACACTCTCTTTCAAGTTCTCTCTTTTTATTTGCATTTTTTCGTCCGTCTAGTTCATCTTCCGACGAAAGATCGACGTTGGATGGACTTTCCGGTGATCAAGATAATTGAAGTTTCATGTGAAATATATGCAAGTTTGTCACCACCAACTAGTTTTTGAAGGGCAAAATCGTCAAATCAATTTGTAGGTACCATGCATTTGACTCAACCACTAGTTACAAATATATATATATATATATATATATATATATATATATATATATATATATATATATATATATATATAATGACTCAACCACAACCTCATTTATATTGATATTGGCCCATTCGTATGCTGAAAGTAGAACTAAAAAAAAAAGTTAATTATTATGAAAATCACTTTCAGGTTTTGAATCTTTGTGGTTTTGTTGGCCATTGGGAACTTGAAAGGGTCGTCGGTCAAATAATGTATAGAAAGTCAAAGCAAATGCTCTCAACTCTCTCAAGTTTCAAACGCCAATAAACTAATTATGTTTTTGTCTTTATTCTTTTTTCATTTACTAAAAGTCTAAAATAAAATAATTAAATTAAAATTGACAAAAATCAACATTAGCCCCTTAAATAAGGAAAATAATAGAGAACCCCTCTTACAATAGTGCAAAATTAAAGATAAGGAATGAGGATAGTGACATAGTGTGGTTTTGTAAAACGTACATCTGGTGAAATACAATATGTAGTTTCACACAATTGATCTACAATTCTACATATAATAACGTACACAATCATGTGTGTATATATATGCTTAGTAGGTAGTTATTTATATAGATCTACAGTTTAAAACACAAAGTGTATTTAAGCCGATTTAGGACCCCATAAACCGAATTGTGGTTATAGTTTGTTATGTGAAGCATATTTTGTTTTTCTTTCTTCACTCACCACTCTTTGATTATTTCTTTTTTTTTTTTTTTTTATATTCCAACAATAACACGATAGATTTTTTATAATGCCAAAGAGATTAAAACAAGAAGAAAAAAGGTTTTTTCTTTTCTTTCTTCGAGATGATTTATACCCGAAACACCTATGTGTAAATCGCAAGTGTACTATATCGTACTTTATGGAATAAGAGGTTCCGAATATCGTCATCATAGACTAATTAATCTTAATTCAACAAGTATTGTATTATAATATCCTGAGTTCATCTAAGCGATCGAGTAATGATAACACTTGAATTATTATTGAACTGAAATAGAATGAATAGATCAATCCGAGCTAAGAGCACAAAAAACACAAGATTTTAACAAGAATTTTATAAATTCTAGAATCGGTTTTCACTTCTGTTAAATTGTTAAAATAACATCAATTATCAATTTTCGATTTGTTAATTAACCAAAAAAAACACTTAATTGTCTTGACCCTCTCTCGAGATTAGAAGAACTTATTCACATATTTCAACATCTCTATCTAAAATCTAGAATTAAGAGTGCATTATATACGAGTTCTTCGTTATATAATGGGTTGCCTATAATTAGAAGTTCCTCTCGAAATCAAGAATTAAAACTATGTTTTCGCTGGTTCAGACCATGAAATCCTCTATCGAATTCATTCTTAGTCAACAAATCTCATGTTTTGTTTGCCCGTATAATCAAACGCATAAAGAACAAGAAAATATAAACAAATTAAATCACATAAACAATTAAGGACAAATTACGGCGACCCCTAGTTATAGTCAAATTACGAAACCCACTCATGTTTGGGTAATTACAGTCACCCATCAATTATGTATTATCTTACGAAAAAACCCCTCTAAAGGTAAATTTAGGGATGTTAAATCGGTAAAACCGAACCGAAATTTTGGTCGCCAACATTTCATACCGTTTGCCGAACTAAATATAC